TTGCTATGGGGGCCAGGAGAGCAGGGAGGACCACGCAGACCTTCCTGGGGATCCACTCCAATGGCAATGGTGTTCTTCATGGTGATGTTGATGGGTACCACCACGTCGGCAAAGTAAGGGATGTCCAAGGAGACCATGCGGATGTCTATCCTCCTGGCGAAGATGAGGAAACTGTTCATGCCTGCCCAGGTGCGGAGAGAAGGAAAGAGGACAGTCATCCTAGCACAGCCATGAGAGGATCTGGAGCAAGGCAAGCTGAAGTTCATGCTTTCCGTCTCCATTAGTTTCTAGTTGTGTGATCCTGAGCACATTATTTAAATTGTTTAAGCCTCAGTTTCATCATCTGTAAAATGGGGACAATAACAGGGGGTGCTGTAGGGATAAAAGATCAATACAGAAAAACCCTTAGCATCGGGTCTGATTCATAGACACAGTTCTTTATTAGTATCACAAAAGTGAACCTCTTTGAAGTTTAAAAAACTTCATGTTAAGTGAAAGAGGGCTTTGCCCACAGCCTGGGACAATTCAGAGCTCCTTTCTCACTCAAGTTCCCTAGGAAGTTAGGGTTCAAATGTAGCCTACTACATAGCATCTCCTAGGGAGAAACATCAGCTTCCAACACTTGGGCAGCCAGCTCCTGCTTCTGAGACCTTTCAGTTCAGGTTATCATAAAGGTTGTGCTGATCGTGCCTACTCACACAAGTGCCATTTCCAAAGGAGGTACCATTACCTTGTAGTTTATCACATGTTCTAGTATTTATTATACCAATTTGGGGTAGATGGAACTATAGTGATTTATTCTAACCGAATCAGTATATTATGACAGTTTCCCAACAGAGAAAAATAAAGTGTCTGAGAAAGGAGCATCTTTTTCTAATGTGCATGAAGATGCCATGAGACCTAGTTGGACCCTGCTTCTAATCTTGCCTGCCTGTTCCCCTGCATCTCTTATTTTTTTTTTTTTTAAAAAAAAGCTTTGTCTTGCCCCTAAGCCTCTAGAAGCTTAGGTTCCTCAGGCCACACTGGAGTCCACTTGCGAGGAAGGAAGAGAGTCACTGCCCCTTCCCAGAGAGGCTCTAGCCAGGTCTGTGATGCCCAGACCTACCTGGTGAGCAGGTCTTGCCATCAGGCATCACGTTAATGCCTGTGGGGCAGGTACAGCTGAAGCCACTTGGGTTTGGGGACCGAAGACACAGGTGGCTGCAGCCGCCGTTCTCCGTCGCGCATGGTGTGGACACTGGGTGGGGAGGAGGGGGTCAATGAGAAGGACTGTGGCTGAGGGAAGCCAAGGAGAAGCCAGTGTGGGCCAAGGGCTGGTCACCTGGGGGCCGCCGGCGGTGGAAGACGTGGATGTCCATCAGGTTCTCCAGGTTCTCCTGCAGGGTCTCCCGGTCCAGCCCCGTCAGCCGGTCGGCACTCTGGATACTCTTGGTCTGCCAGTCGGTCCAGTAGATGCGCTCCCCATAGAGGGTCAGTCCAAACGGGTGGGGCAGCTGGCTTCCGATCAGGACCTGCCAGGGTCCCCACGCTTATGTCATGTCATGCCCCAATCAGGTCTGACAGTACAGAGCAGGCGTCAAGGGCGCACTCTGCCAGTACCACCTGCTGTGTGACCTTGGGTTAGAGCTGGTTATAAAATCTCTCGAGGCTTGGTCTGCCAATCTGTGATAGCATCGTGACAGTGCCTGGTTCCAAGGGTTATGTGATGATTCTAAGAGATCATGTATTATTTACATAATCTCGAAGAATCTCTGTACAAGTGACTTACTAATTACAAAAGGAGAAACAGCAACTTCACAGGGGACACCATCTTCACCACACAATCAAAGCTGGTGACTTCCCTGGTGGTTCAGTGGTTAAGACCTTACCTTTCAATGCAGA